GCGGCTCGGCGGCTCGGCTGCTCGGCTGCTGGGCGGCTCGGCGGCTCGGCTGCTGGGCGGCTCGGCGGTCGGGCGGCTCGGCGATGCTGGTGCAGGGCGGCGTGGCGGCCGCGGGTAGGACGGCGGGTGGGCCGCAAGTAGGGCGGCAGGCGAGCCGCAGGTAGGGCGGCGGGCGTGCCGCAGTGTAGGGCGGCCGTCGGGCCGCAATGTAGGGCGGCGGGCGGGCCGCGACGTAGGGCGGCGGGCGGGCCGCAACGTAGGGCGGCGAGCGGGCCGCAGGTAGGGCGGCGGGCAGGCCGCAACGTAGGGCGGCGGGCGGGCCGCGAAGCAGGGCGGCGGGCGGGCCGCAGGTAGGGCGGCGGGCAGGCCGCGACGTAGGGTGGCGGGCGGGCTGCGACGTAGGGCGGCGGGTGGGCCGCAGGTAGGGCGGCGGGCAGGCCGCGACGTAGGGCGGCGGGCGGGCCATCGACGTGGGGCGGTGGGACCGCGACGTAGGGCGGCGGGGCCGTGACATCGGGCGGCGGGCAGGCCGTAGCGTAGGGCGGCGGGCGGGCCGCGACGTAGGGCGGCGGGTGGGCTGCAGGTGGGGCGGCGGGCGGGCCGCGACGCAGGGCGGCGGGCGGGCCGTCGACGTAGGGCGGTGGGGCCGCGACGTAGGGCGGCTGGGCCGTCGAAAGGCAGGGCGGCGGGGCCGTCAGCTAGGGCGGCTCGGCGCGATCTGAAGAGCGGCGCGACGGGCCGCTAGGAGGCGACCCGACGGGTCGCTAAAAAAAAGGAAAAAAAAAACCATGCAAGGGCGTCATGGCCGACAAGTCGTCAAAGTGTTTGCCATCTATCGCGTCTAATCGACCTTGATTCTTGTTCCTCCCTACAACCTCGGTTGCCCGCCGTTTGCAGAAGGCGAGTGGCACGACGCTCATTGGGACCCATACGAGCATGCAATAACGGACAACATGGTGTCCATCATGCGAAGGCGATTGCGCAACAGCCTCCACTGGTGGCTATCATGGTGTGACAGCAGTTTCATCATTTCCATCCTTGCTAAAGGGTACTGGCTACCATGGAAGGGCGAGGAGCCAACCCTTTTCGAAGCCCTGAATCACGCAGGGGTTCAAGCACACATGGCTTTCACCCAAGGAGCCGTCAGCGACCTCATCGCGTCAGGAGCCGCGGTACAGGTCTCGTCGAAGGCAGCACTGACATGCATTAGCCCGCTCAATGTTGTCGAGCAAATAGACAAATGCCGTCTCATTCTTGACCTACGGAAGGTCAACGCTCACCTCCAAGTTCCTAAGTTCAAGTACGAGGGCTTGGGTCGGGTCGCGGAGATCATTCGCCCAAACGACTAGATGTTCACCATCGATCTGAAGTCAGGCTACCACCACGTTGAAATCCACTCATCCTGCTAGAGGTATTTGGGCTTTCAACTGGATGGCAAGTTCTATTGCTTCACATCTTTACCTTTCGGATTGGCAACACCCCCGTTTGTCTTCACCCAGCTAATCAAGCAACTGGCCAAGAAATAACGCGCGCCATTCCGAGACGCAAGCCCGTTCGACGTGCATCGAAGTTCTCAAAGACCTGAAGGCGGCGGGATTCGTGATAAATGCTAAGAAGTAAAACCTGCATCCTACACACCACTTGCGCTTCCTGGGGATGGAGCTCGACACGGAACGAGGGATGTTCCTCATCGGAGAAGATCGGCGTGCGCAACTACTGCAGGAGCTCCACCTACTCGTTAAAAAAGGGCAATCGGGTCGACAAGTGCCGATTCGCAAGATAGCCCGAATCACCGGATTTCTAAGCTCCATGTCGCTCGCACTAGGCACGACGGCGCGTGCCTTCAGCCATGAGCTGCTGCACTTGATCGACTCCGCGCGGTCATGGAACGCGAGGGTCAAATTGTCACAAGTAGCGACGGAGGAGCTATTGTTTTGGACAGTCCACTTCGATCGTTTCAGTGGTGCCCCATTCCACCAGAGTCAACGGTTTGATGCCGTGATCCACGTCGATGCAAGCGCACACAGCTGGGGTGCCACCTTGGCCAAGTTCCCCAGTGCATCATGCGAAGCAAGCGCACGCATGCCACGCGAGCTCCTCCGCACATCCAGCACGCGACGAGAGCTCGAGGGAGTGCTCTGGGCACTGCAGACGTTCGCAACCCAAGTTGCAGGTGCTCACGTCCTCGTCCGGGTCAACAACCAGGCAGTTATGTTCATCTTGCGCAAAGGGGGATCCCGTCACGCGGACCTTACGCTGACATGCCAAGCGATCATCCAGTTCTGCCTCGGCAACACCACACGCCTCGCGATTGAATGGATTCCGAGAGAGCTCAACGTCTAGGCAGATGACCTATCCAAGCTGCAAGATCATAACGACTACTCCCTACACGCGCCCTGGTTTCGCCTTCTAGACCGTCGTTGGAGGCCCCACACAATTGATCTATTTGCCAACGCCCGGAACAAACAAGTTCAGCGCTTCTGCTCCAAGATACCGCATCCCGACGCGTTCGCTGCCGATGCATTTTCCATTTCTTGGAAAGGCGAGAGATGCTTTGCCTTCCCGCCGCCACACCTAGTCCCCGCTACACTTCGCCATGCCGAACTCACGCACGCGGAACTCACGCTGGTCGTTCCCCAGTGGACCGGGGCGTCATGGTGGCCGCTTCTCCAACCGTCCACCCAAGCGTGGGCCCCAGCTGTAGTGGCACACCTTGCCATTGCCCAAGGCGGTCAATGCCTTCGGGCAGGTTCACACACCACTCCATTTTCTGGTCTCGGATTGCCTCATAGCCCAATCATTGCTTTGCGTGTAAACTATGCAATCTAATACAATCCATTAATGTGTCATTTCAGGACTGTTGGGCAAACTACAGAAACAACTTATGCACGTAATTAGTCACGTTCGCGCACCATCTACAATCGAGACGTACCAACCTTATTGGCAGAGATTTTGCACCTTCTATACCGAAGTCAAGCTTGACTTCCTACCGGCAACCGACCTGGCGCTAGCATTGTATCTCATCCATGCGCTCAACAACAAGGCAACTCTCTCCGCGATAAACCTCACATGTTCGGCAGTGGCCTTCGCCCACCGCATGACAGGCGAAGCCTCCCCCACGATCGGACCATTCACCCTGCAAGTGCGAGAGTTCGCCAAAAGACATGGTCCTCGGCCTGCCAGGACCAAAGAACCAATATCTCTCCATCAAGTGCACGACATGGCCCGTCCCTTCCTCGAATCATCGATTCCTTCGGAATACCAGAAAGGATTGATTCCTCTTCTCATGTTTTCGGCGTTCTTGCGCTACTCTGACCTCGTATCGCTCCAGTGGAATGATGTACAGTTCGAGGAGAAGGCAATGTGGCTGCTCATCCCGCACTCCAAGACGGACCAGGAAGGGAGGGGTGTCTGGATCCCAGTGGCAGCAATTTCGGGCCCATACTGCCCAGTGCGGTGCACACGCAAATTCATACGTATCGCAGGCCTCACAGAGGTGCCCCATGGACCGCTAATAAGGGTTTTTCCAAAGAACTCGCAAGCCACGCCGGACGGCAAATCGCCGTCCTACGTCACGATCAAAAACTGGTGTCTCGCGGCCGGCAGGCAGGCTGGACTGGATGTCGCGCACATCGGAACCCACTCGTTCCGCAAAGGCGCAGCCACTGCGGCGGCAAGCCTCGGAGTTCCTGACTGGCTCTTCAAACGCATGGGCCGATGGCGCAGCGACGGCGCGAAGGAGATGTACGTTACCGTACAATCGCGCAGGATCAGCTAATCTCCCTCTCCACGCAGTTGCAGGATCCTTCGGCGTCTCCTTCACCCGCCACGCACCAGCTATCAATCGAACGGCACCGCCAGCCCCGTCAGCACTTGCCTTAGAAGACCCATATGAAATGATAACGCTGCCTTTGCAAGTCAGCCTAAGTAGACTTTCACAATATGATAGTTTTTGAAAGTGTAATGAAATGTAACACTTTCTAAAATTCTGTATTGTGAAAAGGGGTACGTGGCCAACACAGCAAAGGTAGCGCCAAAGCGCTACTCGCCCTCGTTTGCCTACAAAAGAGGGATGTGGAGACATTCGTCCCCACCCACGTTTTCATTTCTCAATTTGTAGTTCTAATTTCCCACCCACCCAACCAATTGTGTATGCTGTTATGTAGACTTGTATACGACGAGAACGATGTACCTACTAGAACCCATATGAAATGATAACGCTGCCTTTGCAAGTCAGCCTAAGTAGACTTTCACAATGTCATATTTTAGTGTAAGAGTATTTTTTAATTAGGCAATTTGGGTGTTTCAATGGTCGTTTTAACATCACAGTTTGAGGCGAGAATATGAGTTCCGGCGAGAATGTGAGTTTCACCTCTCGGGCCACTTGCAGCGGGGGATTCGCCAGCGTGGCGACAGCGAGATTGTGGGAGGGGGGAAATGTCCGCTTGCAGCGAAAGATTTGCCAGCGTGATGACAGCGAGATTGTGGGAGGGGGGGGAATGTTGGCAGATTCTAAGTGAAAATACACGCGAAATTTCATCTAGGAAGCATCCTCGCGATATTATCCCGTAAGGAATCTGACTCGATAACAGCTATTATATGAATCTGTAAGAATAGGGGGGTGTTATAGAAAATCACCCAAAAAGGGGGGGTATAGTACAAACGAGGTCGGCTATAGCACCCCCGCCGCACAAGCTACCCGGGGGTGTACTATTACGGGGGGGTGTTTTGTCCGGGAGAATACGGTAATCTAAATGAGAAGGCGGCGAGGGTCTGAGAGGTTTGCTGAAATCGCAGAAAGTAGTTTGCCTGCAGATTGCAAGTGAAAAGAAAGCCAAGGGGTCGAATGCAATAGAGCAGCAAGAAAAGTGTGGATCAGACAGCGTAACACGGCATGCCCTGGAGTACACCATGTGACACATCTCGTGCCCCTTGTGCCACCTGCTGACACAACACTGGCTGCTTGAATGCGCCTGTCGTTGCCCTCTCCCTTGCCTCACCTGCCGTGGTGCCATCGAGAGCACGCGCATCCGCAGAGAGTGTGACCTCCATCTTGCCGGCCACGTGCAGCTGTGCGCCTGCTGTAGTCGTGCCAAGGTGGAGACACAGTGGGAGATAGGCGGATACAAAAGGCGATGGGAAGACACAGAGGGGGGAAGAAAGGGACAAAGAGGAGATTCAGGCAGGAGGGGTGGGATGATGGCGCAAGTACTCTCACATCCACCTCTGTCCCGCCATCAACACCGCATTCCCACCCATCAACACCGCATTCCCACCCATCAACACCGCATTCCCACCCATCAACATCGCATTCCCACCCATCAACATCGCATTCCCACCCATCAACACCGCATTCCCACCCATCAACATTGCATTCCCACACATCAACATCGCATTCCCACCCATCAACATCGCATTCCCACCCATCAACATCACATTCCCACCCATCAACATCGCATTCCCATCCATCAACACCGCATTCCCACCCATCAACATCGCATTCCCACCCATCAACATCGCATTCCCACCCATCAACACCGCATTCCCACCCATCAACATTGCATTCCCACACATCAACATCGCATTCCCACCCATCAACATCGCATTCCCACCCATCAACATCACATTCCCACCCATCAACATCGCATTCCCATCCATCAACACCGTATTCCCACCCATCAACATCGCATTCCCACCCATCAACATCGCATTGCCACCCATGAACACCGCATTCCCACCTATCAACATCGGTTCCCACCCATCAACATCGCATTCCCATCCATCAACACCGCATTCCCACCCATCAACATCGCATTCCCACCCATCAACATCGCATTCCCACCCATCAACACCGCATTCCCACCCATCAACATCGCATTCTCACCCATCAACACCGCATTCCGAACCGAAACCAATCCGATCCCACTAACAAGCAACCCATCCCCACCGGCAACCAGTTCGCCCCCACCCACTACCAATCTATCCCCATAACTCTCCGTCCCGCCCCTCGCCCCTCTCCCCCTGGTTCCTGGACCCTGGAAGGGCACGTGACCTGCAGAGGTCTCAGCGGGCAGGCGCAGCACCTTGTCGGCGCGGCCCACCGCTAGAATGCCCGACTGCCATGCCAGCCATGCCATGCCGTGCACACGCAGGGGGGAGAGGGGGGCACGGGCGGGGGGAAGCACAGGGAAAAAGAGACGGACGGTGAGGGAAGAGGTGATGGAGGGCGGGAAGGGAGACGGGGTTGGGAATGAGTGCTGGCGATGCAATGAGTGAATGATTGCTTGACGACCTCAGGCCTGCCAGCATCTGCAAACCCCATTGGAAGCGACACTCATCCCATGCCACTTGCCCATGCCCCATCCCAGCAGCACCCCAGCAGCACCCCAGCAACACAGCAGCAACACAGCAGCAACACAGCAGCAGGCGGCAGGCGCCACCTGAGGCGGGTTGATGATGGCGGAGAAGCGGTCCACCGCATACATGCCCAGATTCGATATGCTGCTCGCACAGGGGGGTGGGTGCATGGGGGGGAAGAGCACGTGCGAGCAGGTGGCAGCAGGTGGTGGGGGGGTTGGAGATGGGAATGATTTCATGGCCCTGGCATGCAAGATGGTGAGCAGGCGATCACTGATTGGCACGCGTGAGTGAGAGTGCTGCGGCTGCGCCATGCCATGCTTCGCTGGGCGCGGTCAAAAGATGTGTGCGTGCGGGGAGGGTTGAACCATGCGGATGGAAGGGCAGCAATGTGGGATAAATGAGTGGCAACGTGGGATGGGGATGAAGAGGGTGAGGGGGTTCTTGCACCGCTCAGGAAGCAACGACCCCACAACACCGCCCACTTGAACTCACCTAAGCTCACCTGAACTCACCTGAGCTCACCTGAACTCACCTGAGCTCACCTGAACTCACCTGAAGTCACCTGAACTCATCGCGGCATCCAATCTACACACTTTCTTTTCATGTCTCCCTGAACGGAAGACGAATGCATCTGAAGGCACCTGAACTCACAGAAGACACCTGAGCACACCTGAAGGAACCTGACCTAAGCCCACCAGAAGCCTGAACCCACCTGAAGGTCACCTGAGCGCACCTGAAGGTGCCGCCCTGGAATTCATGCGGCTGTAGCTTGCCCGCCCTGGCCCTCTCCACCAGCTGCTTCACCTGGCCAGGGTGAACGAGGGGTGGTGCATGGCATGTGCGGCATGAGACATAGGGCGCAGAGCACAGGGCACAGGGCACAGGGAAACAGGGCACAACGGGATGGAAAGAATGGGTTGGGGCGATGAAGCATGGGCAAAGACATGACATGCGAAGGAGAAGGAAGTAAGAGAGCAGCAGGGCAGCGATGAGGCAGGAGGGTGCGAGAGGGAGAGGAAGCAGTGGGGTGCAGTGCGGTGAGCTCCATGGCTGCTGCCCTGTGACGGCCTTGCCATGGCATTGCAGTGCCTTGCATTGCATGCCACGGCCCACCAGTGCTGCTCCCCAGGTAAACCACATGACACACACGCGCTGTGTGCTGCTCACTCACATAAGAAGCTTCGCGCAAGTCAAGAGAGTGTTTAGCGACCCACAGAATGATCTGGAATGTGGTGGAGAGTGACGAGGTAGGGGGCTGTGGTGGAGAGTGACGAGGTAGGTGGCTGTGGTGGACATGATGCGACTGAGGTCGGTGAGAAAAGGGTTGAGGCGGGATGGGACGAGCAGCGCAGGAAGAGCAGGGCAGAGGCGGCTCACCTCCTTGGAGATAGCTCCGAGCGACTTCTTGTCCGCATCTTTTAGAATGGGCGTGATGAGTCCCTGCCGCCCCGATGCAGTCCCACACACATGCACCCACACACATGCACCCACACACATGCACCCCCAAGAGGTCATATGATGCAATCACATAGGCACACTCCCGCACACACACGATCCACATGCACACAGTCAGATAGAGTATTTACAGCAATCCGCCTCATGGGTGGAGCAGGCAAGGCTGCCAAGGCAATGAAGCAACAAGCCCACTGGGCCTCACCCCGCGAGGTACGTCACCCATGCACCATTCCTTCCCACCACATGCCCCACCCCCATGCCATCCCCCATGCCCTCCCCCCACGCCCTTTCCCTCCCCTCCCCTCCCCCCCCCACCTTGTCAGTGGCGACGGCGATGGAGATGTCGACACTGCTGTTGCTCACCACTCGCCCCGCCTTGCCGTCCCAGTGCACTGCCGGGGAGAAGAAAGGGGAGGGGGGAGGGTTCACGCCGTGTGGCAGGGGCGAGAGGGGGCACGACGAGGGGAGGGAGGGTGGCGGGAGGGAGGGTGGCGGGAGGGAGGGGCGGGGGGAGGGAGGGTGGCGGGAGGGAGGGGCGGGGGGGAGGGAGGGGCGAGGGGAGGGAGGGGTGAGGGGAGGGAGGGGTGAAGGGAGGGGCTTGGATGGTGTGAGCACAAGTGGTGGGCGGAGCAAGTGGTGTGGAGCGGGGAGCATGTGAGAAACGTGGGACAGCATGGGTGGATAAGCAGCAGGGGAGCGGCAGCGGCTCACCATTGGCGTGGGGTGTGTGGGCGAGCGCCATGGCGACGGCCTTGATGACAAAGTCGTTCACCGACACCGCCACGCCCCACTTGTCTGTCAAGGGGGGGAGGGTCGCAGGGGCGAGGCAGAGGGCACGCATGGGATGGGAGTGGGGGGGGTAGAGAAGGCATTGGGATAAGGCGCGGCCCAGATCGTTTTGCTGGCTTGGGTGGCGTGGAGAGATAGGAGGAGAGGAGCACATGGGTCCAAGAGCGGAAGGGCGAGCCCCGCTGGGTACCGGCCCATTCACGGTCCCTCATGCCCTCTGGCTCTCTCCCGCACACATGCCCCTTGGTCCTTCATTCCGCCAGCCCCCCCGTGACATGCTCCCTCCACGTGGAGGCAGAGGGGAACAGGTGCGCTGCCTCCAGCGCCCTCCATCCCCCCCCACACCCTCACACGCATGTACACCAACGTCTCTTCTAACATGAGCAGCACCATGTACGAGAAGATGCCCCCTGCCCCATTCCCCCTGCCCCATTCCCCCTGCCCCCTGCCCCCCCCCCTGCGACGAACCTTTGAGCTCCCGGCGCAGCTGCAGCGTGGCGTCGATGTCCGCCTCTGATGGCCATGCAGGGCACACGCACGTGGGGGCGGGGACGGAGCAGACGCACAGGGAGGGGGGATGGTGGGGGGAGGGAGCTCAGGCAGTAAAATGGAGAGTAGATGAGGGGGTGGAAGGACGCAAGGCACCGAACAACGGAGAGCACAGGGCTGACAGAGTACAGGAAGAGGGGCGGGAGGAAAAGAGGGGAGAGGAAAGAATGGAGCAGGCAAGGCACGGAGAAGGTGGGTGCAGGAGCGGGATGGTGAAGAGGAGGCAGAGGCTGAGGTAGAAGGGGATGGAAGCGAAGGAGGCGGGGCAAAGCACAGAGCACAACCGTGCAGCCATGCTGCTCCATGCAACTCCGCACGCCCCATTGCCCCACGAGTCACGGTCACACCAGCCCCACCATGCCCCACCATGCCCCACCATGCCCCACCATGCCCCACCACGCCTCACCACGCCTCACCACGCCTCACCTGCCTCGGCGTACAGGTGTGGCGACCCCCACTTGGACTCCATCAGCCGCTGCGCGATGATCTGCCGCCCAGGGGATGACGAGGGGGGGGGGGGGGGGGGGGGGGCGAGGGTGGTGGTGGCGGGGATTGGAGGGAAGGTTGGAGGAGGGTTGTGAAGACGGGATGTGATACAAGGGAGCGGGGCAGCAGAGGGGCGAACGAGCGCATTGAGGACGGCATGGACAAAAGGCAGAATTTCCAGGGTAATGGAGAGGGGGGAGGGCGGGGGTGGCGAGGCAAAGAGGAGGTGGAAACACAACAGTGCTGTGCTGTGCTGTGCTGTGCTGTGCTGTGCTGTGCTGTGCTCCGCGCTCTCTGTCAACTCCACCGCCTTACACCAACCACCTGTGCCTCACATCCCTCGTCCTGTCTCGCTCTCGTGTCCACCCCCTCTGCGTGCACCCCTCTGTGTGCACCCCTCTGCGTGCACCCCTCTGCGTGCACCCCTCTGTGTGCACCCCTCTGCGTGCACCCCTCTGTGTGCACCCCTCTGTGTGCACCCCTCTGCGTGCACCCCTCTGTGTGCACCCCTCTGCGTGCACCCCTCTGTGTGCACCCCTCTGTGTGCACCCCTCTGTGTGCACCCCTCTGTGTGCACCCCTCTGTGTGCACCCCTCTGTGTGCACCCCTCTGTGTGCACCCCTCTGTGTGCACCCCTCTGTGTGCACCCCTCTGCGTGCACCCCTCTGTGTGCACCCCTCTGTGTGCACCCCTCTGCGTGCACCCCTCTGTGTGCACCCCTCTGCGTGCACCCCTCTGTGTGCACCCCTCTGTGTGCACCCCTCTGTGTGCACCCCTCTGTGTGCACCCCTCTGTGTGCACCCCTCTGTGTGCACCCCTCTGTGTGCACCCCTCTGTGTGCACCCCTCTGTGTGCACCCCTCTGTGTGCACCCCTCTGTGTGCACCCCTCTGTGTGCACCCCTCTGTGTGCACCCCTCTGCTGTGCACCCCTCTGTGTGCACCCCTCTGTGTGCACCCCTCTGCGTGCACCCCTCTGTGTGCACCCCTCTGTGTGCACCCCTCTGCGTGCACCCCTCTGTGTGCACCCCTCTGTGTGCACCCCTCTGTGTGCACCCCTCTGTGTGCACCCCTCTGTGTGCACCCCTCTGTGTGCACCCCTCTGTGTGCACCCCTCTGTGTGCACCCCTCTGTGTGCACCCCTCTGTGTGCACCCCTCTGTGTGCACCCCTCTGTGTGCACCCCTCTGTGTGCACCCCTCTGTGTGCACCCCTCTGTGTGCACCCCTCTGTGTGCACCCCTCTGTGTGCACCCCTCTGTGTGCACCCCTCTGTGTGCACCCCTCTGTGTGCACCCCTCTGTGTGCACCCCTCTGTGTGCACCCCTCTGCGTGCACCCCTCTGTGTGCACCCCTCTGTGTGCACCCCTCTGTGTGCACCCCTCTGTGTGCACCCCTCTGCGTGCACCCCTCTGTGTGCACCCCTCTGCGTGCACCCCTCTGTGTGCACCCCTCTGTGTGCACCCCTCTGCGTGCACCCCTCTGCGTGCACCCCTCTGTGTGCACCCCTCTGTGTGCACCCCTCTGCGTGCACCCCTCTGCGTGCACCCCTCTGCGTGCACCCCTCTGCGTGCACCCCTCTGCGTGCACCCCTCTGTGTGCACCCCTCTGCGTGCACCCCTCTGCGTGCACCCCCTGTCGTGAGTGCACTCACCCGCCGGATCTGCGAGGTGGGCACGTCCACGAACGCCCCTGCCGCCCCTCCCAGCGCGGGCGCTGCCGCCGCTGCAGGCGCAGGGGGGGGGGCAGGAGCGGAGGGGGGAAGAGGCACAGCCCTGGGCGCAGCAGTAGCCGCAGCTGGGGGGGTCGGGGGGGTAGGAGCAGGGGCGGCAACGGAAGCAGCAGTGGTGGTGGCAACGCTTCTAGCAGCAGCAGCAGGGGCGGCAGCAGCAGCGCCAGCAGCAGCGGCAGCAGGGGAGGCGGCAGCAGCGAGGGCCGCGAGGGCGTCCGCCTTGGTGACAACCCCGCGCGGCCCGCTGCCCTGCACGCCCTGCGCGTCCACCCCGCTGCCCGCCAGCAGCAGCCGGGCGGCCGGGCTCACCACCTTGTGCATGCTGGGGGCGGCGGCGTGGAATGGACGGCGAGCGGTGGCGCTGTGCATGGGGGGGGCGGCAGCAGCGGTGGGTGCGAGGGCAGGGGCGGCGGTGAAGCACCCACCCGCAGCGGCGGAGGGCGCAGTGGCGCTGGCAGGCGCGGTGGCGGTGGCGGTGATGGGGGCGTTGGTGGTGATGGGACGAGCGGCGTCCACCTGGTGACATACGGGGGTCAGGCAGATGAGTGACACGCATGGCCATGCGCCACGTGGCATAGAGATGAGCACACGTGGCAATAGCGGCATCAACCCAGAACAGCAGTGGTCATGAATCTACGCGCAATGGCACATTCGAATCTGCGAACGTGGTACTGTAGGGCAGGGTGAGCGTGCGAGGTACATGCATCCTCGCAGCACGCGCGCACGGCTGTCCCGCTCGTGCCGTCATACGAGGCTGTCGCGCGCATCCGCTAGCAACCCCGCGGCGGGCGGGCATGGCGACATGCGCGCAGCTGCGAGCGCGCAGATCCACTCACCGCTGCGATGGATGGCGCCGCCGTTCCCCCTCCTCGCGCAGCTGGCGCGAGCGCATTGGCGAGGAGCCTGCGGGGAACGGCGATGGCATGGCAACAGGGGGGTACGGAGGGGAGAGGGTGGGCGATGATCGACCAGTGACTCCCTCATGTTTCGTACAACAATGCCCCGTTCCCTGGGCGGTGTTCGCGTCGCTCGCCCGCGGCCTCGAGACGATCCCTTTCACTGCGGCCGCGTGCGCGGCGCATCTCGGGTGTGCCACATGAACCCCGAAGGGCGCGCGTGCCGCACGGCTACAGCCAGCGTGCGGTCGACGATAGAGCGAGGGGATGAAGCGCGCAGGGGAAAGGCGAGTGGCGAAGCAGGCAGATCGCTCGGTTCGCGATTGCACGCGACGCAACGGTACGCGTGCTTTGTCGGGCGACGGCTGGTCCGCGAAATTAACGCGCGCGATAGCGGGTGAGCGAGTGAGATGCGGTCGTACCTGGAGTGACGAACGACAGCGCGCGACATGATTAGGTCGCAGCGACGCGTTTGGCGGGAAAGGAGGGATCGTAAACAGACGATGGCACGACCCACACAAGTGTCCCTCTGAGGCAACTCCAAGCTAGGTCGAGACGATCCCCGACACTCACAGCGGTGGTTGCTCCAAGAGGATGAGGAAGGCAGACCTGGGAGAGCTAGCTGGTGCGTTTGTTTGGCAAGCAATGTGCGAAGAGGCGAGAGGGCGCTCGCACTGCGAGAATGCACGACCGCTGTTACCAGTCTCGCAACACACTAGTGAGAAGCGCAGCCCATTCAACCCGCCCCTAGACACCTGCGAGCGGCCGCATTGGTTGGATGAGCCGCAGATTCAGGAAGATCCATAGAGCAAGGGAAAAAAGGGTTATTTTATAGATGGTCACAAACAGGGGCTTGTTGTCACGGATAGTCACTAGGTCATCACAAACGGTCACAGAATCTAAACATGTATCACGGATGGTAACAAGCAGTTAAGATTGCCGATGTATTGTGCACTTTATAGTGTATCTTTCATTAAAAAAAAAGGATGGTAACAATACCTGGAAGTCTATCAAGGATAGTCACATGCTACCTTACAGAATAATCACGTTTAATCACACAAAGAAGCGCTCCATCTACAAGCTGAAACAACCTTAAATTGTTGAGATTAATGGACCTTCAAACCGCAGTCAATTTTGTCCTAAATGTGTATTCTCAACGTTGGGAGGGCATCGATATGGTGAAGCCGACTTGGTGTGGTCGGCTAAAAGCTGGGCTGGTCGACCTGGAGCTGTTCGACAAGGGGTGTGGTCGACAGGTGGTGGTTGTCAACCTGGGCGGTCGACGGGGCACGAGGAGGAGCAGCTGGTCGACGTGGTTGCCCGGTCGACCAGGTTACCCGGGCGGTTGTGAGGATCTGGTTCAGGAAAGATTATTATTTTGAAAGATCACCTGGGTAAAAGGCGAGACTATGTATAGGCTCGACACAAAGGCAGTACTACCAGGTTCCGCAGGTCGCAAAGCATCCCGAACGGATCCTTCCCGAATTTGGTAGAAGGCAATTTGGTGGCAACCGAAAAGCCTAAAATTCGGTGCACTCAACCTAGTTCGGTGCCTATAACTCTAATAAAAGCAAAAACATGCAATATAAAATAGAGCTAAGCTAGATAATGCGTAATAAAGCATAATCAAGCAAGTAAAGTTTAGCAAAGCCGTCGTACTCTCACACGCCCCCCCCTCAAAGTTGTGTGGCGTGAGATACACCCTGCTTGACAAGATAATCATTGAGCAGCGTGCGTTGCCCATATCAGCTTCTGCAACCCAACTGTCCTCCAACAGGTCATATCCCATCCAGCGTATCATGAACTCGAGCGTGTTGTCGCGTCTGTATCGATGAGTGAGAACTCGTTCCACCTCGTACACTGGTTCATCCTGTACGAGAACAGGTGGTGGTGGCATTAGCTGTCGTCCTATGAACTGTTGGTTGGGGTCCTTGTGGGGCTTCAGTAGCTAAACATGGAAAGCGTTGTGAAGCTTCGACGTAGTAGGTAAGCGCAAGCGGAATGTCACTGGTGTCACATGTGCCTCAACGCAAAAGGGACCACAGAAGCGAGGCCGGAGCTTAGACGGAAGGTGAGATAAGTCCAAGTTGCGTGTGTCGAGAAACACCTGATCTCCGACTGCTACAGAGTGATGTCGTCGCTGGCGATCGGGATACTGCTTCTGGGAGTTCTGCATCGTGGTGAGACGTCGCTGAGTCTTCTCCCATAGCTGTTGCATGGTGGTGACGAAGTCATGTGCGGCTTGGACGTGTGCCGGTGTGGTTGGCTGCTGTGGTGTAAGTGGTTCCCGTCCGTAGCACAGGAAGATAAGAGATTTCGATGTGGCCGCTGCGACGCGTTGTTGTAAGCGAGCTCAAGTGTCAGTAACTGCGAATCCCAGTGGCTGACGTCGTCTTTGCAAGCAGTGCGCAGTAATTGTTCAACCACCTGATTGAGTCGCTCAGTCTGTCCGTCAGTTTGGGGGTGGTACGTTGAAGACATCGCAAGCTTTGTCCCGAAAAAACCCATGAGTTCCCTCCAAAACTTACTAGTGAACTTAGGGTCTCTATCTGAGATGAGCGTAGCGGGAATGCCGTGGATGGTGATGATGCGGTGAAAGAAGAGGAGAGCAGTTTGCTTTAGCTGTAGCCGTGGCGTTGGTCGGGATAAAATGTCCCATTTTAGAGAACTTATCGATCACCACGAGTATAGTGTCATGCCCTCGTAAGGTCGAAGGTAGCCCAGTGATGAAGTCTAGGCTGGCGACTTGCCATGACTACTCCGGTACGGGTAGAGGCTGAAGTAACCCTGTTTTTTTCTGCTTGCTACTCTTCATCCACTGGAACATGTCGCATGAGGTGACGAACTGCTGCACGTCTGCTGCCATCCCGGGCCAGTAGTAATACTTCGCTATCACTGCTAGCGTCTTGTTGCTCCCGAAATGTCCCGCATATGGTACGTCGTGAAACTCCTCCAATAGGATCTGTCGTAGCGGGGCGTAGTTCAGTACCCAAATATTTCCTGTTCCCTTTCTTACAGCTAAGTATTTCTCCCACTGTAACAACTTCTTTGTCTGTGCTGTAGCAATCTCTGCGTCCACGGAGTATCCATGTTGGAATAGACCCTTGAGTAGGGGGGTCATCCTATCGAGCTGGATGCCTGCTACATGTCCGGGGCGGCTCAACGCGTCTGCCTTGTTGTGTAGCCCAGGTTGGTAGACGATGTCGCAGTGGAAGTGAGTTTCGAGGAAGTCCACCCACCGGACCTGTCGTCCTGAGAGCGTTGGCTGCGACAAAAGATATTTGAGACTACAATGGTCAGTTTAGACTGTAGTCTAGGCTCCCTCTAGGTAACACCTCCACGCATTGAAGGATATGACTATCGCTAAGGCTTCCTTGTCATGGATGGGGTAGTTCAGTTCTGCTCCGTGTAACTTCTTACCGAGGTAGGCGATGGGCTGCAAACCGCATCCGTGATCCTGCATCAGTAGTGCTTCGACTGCCTGGTCACTGGTGTCTACTTCCACCACGTAGTCTCTGTCTGATTCTGGAAGGATGAGTACTGGCGTTGTAGTCAGTGCTGTCTGTAGCTGCTCCATGGCTTGCTGTTGAGGAGTATCCCATTTATAGGGCGTATCCTTTTTCAGTAGGTTGACCAGTGGCGCTGCTATCTTAGCGTATTACGGCACGAATCTGTTGTAGTAGTGAGGAAATGCAAACGAGAATGAATGAACTATGAATGAACTGGGTACAAGTACTAACCCTAATTGGGTTGTACCCCCTATGGGATACCCCACTATAGCCTACAAAAAAGTATAAGCTATATATGTTCTGACACACCCCCATAGGCAAAGTGGGGGAGAACAAGGGGTCACAAGACCAGTCAAGCAAAGCAAAGCAAAGCAAGCTCAGGGTGGATCACAAAGTCACCACACATTCCAAGCACAAGTTCAAGGCCACAAGGCCAGTTCACATGCACTAGTACACATATATATAAGGCTAGACAGGCAAGAGCAGGTATACATATATGTAAGAGTACAAGCAAGGTCAAGAGGTGAGCAAGTGAGGCAAGACAGCGACAAGACCCAGCTGAGTGCAGAAGCGCTGATGATCACAAGGCGCAAGTGCCTTGGTGAAAACATCGGCAGTGTTGGCCTCAGAGGCCACGTACGCAAGCCGCAACTGTCCACGCTGCTGTAGCTCACGAGCAAGGAAGTAGCGGAGAGCAATGTGCTTCGTTCTGTGCTCCAGTCGCTGCTCTCGACACAAGGCCAGCATGGCCTTGTTGTCTACGTACAGCACTGGAGGAGAACGAGGCGGCTCTCCTAGGTCGGTCAGCAGGTAGGTGAGCCAGCGAAGCTCCTGTGCAGCCATGGCCCCGGCGTAGATCTCAGCCTCACAACTGGAGCCGAGAACAGAAGACGAGCGAGTAGCCCGCCACGAGACAGAGCCGGAACCAAGACTGAAGGTGTAACCCTATGACGACTGCTATGTAGCCTGGTCATCAGCCCAGGAAGCGTCTGCGTGCCCAGTGAGGACCACTGGACTGCGCCCTCCAAGCACTAGCCCCATGCCCGACGTGCTGCACAAGTAGCACAACACCCTCTTCGCTGCAGCCATGTGCTCTGGTCGGTGTCTCCTAGGAGCAACATAGCGTGCGAGAATGCTAAGAGGGTATGCAAGGTCAGGTCGTGTGCAGGTCATCAGGTACATGAGGCAGCCAACAAGCTCTGGATACGGGCCACTCGACTCTACGGACTCATCCGAAGGCAGAGCTGAGAGCGAGTGGCGAGTAGGCAGAGGAGTGGCCTGAGGCGAGGAGTACGTGAAGCCGAAGCGCTGAAGGACCTGCTGCACCATGTGTGACTGAGTCAGGGTAATGGTGCGGCGTGCTCTGTCCCGGGTGATCTTCAAGCCAAGGTAGCTGCGCAGTTCACCCAGGTCAGTGCACGTGTGTCTCTTCTGCAGCTCGGACTTCACGTAGGCGAGTCCAGCAGTGTCAGCTGTGGCAAAGACCAAGTCGTCGACGTACACGAGGATGTAGAACGGCGGCAGAGAGGTGTCGGTGCGCAAAAACAACGATGGGTCGGCAGTAGAAGGAGCAAACCCAAGAGCCGCAAGTGTAGTCCTCAGTGTGTCGTGCCACTTACGGGGCGCCTGGCGGAGACCTTAAACTGGACGCCGGAGGCTCCACTGGGTACCAGGAGGGAACGACCCAGTGAAGCCAGGTGGGCGACGCAGCCAGATCTCTTCGTGCAGGCTGCCCTGCAAGAAAGATGTGCTGAAGTCGAGGGAGTGCAGCTCGTAGTCACGGTGAGCAGCAACGTGCAGTAGCACCCGAAGAGTGGTCATCTTGGGGGTGGGAGAGAAGGTCTGAAAGTAGTCACCTCCCTGCCGCTGACTGGAACCAAGAGCCACGTACCGTGCCTTGAAGACAGGCGGAGAACCCGGCGGCCGCTTCACCCTGAAAATC